CTCTGGGACCCGGTAGGCCAGGCCGCGCCCGACGCGCGCGCTCGCTCGCTCGCTCGCCCTCCGCTGGGTCATCCAGGAGCGCCCTGCCAGGCCTGGCCCGCGCGCAGGGGCCGGAGCGGAACGGAAACTCCAGTTCGGGAAACGCCTTGAGCGGCCGGACCTGGGAGAGCCAGCAGACACCCCCAGCTCTGGGGATCAGCTTTTAAGAGCATTTAAGGGCTCGGGAGCTGCTGAGAGCTACGTGCCTCCTGCTCTGTCCTCCAGGCCCAGACACTCTCCAAGCGAGGGACCAGCCAGGACCCCCTGGAGAGGGAGTTCTTAGGACCCAATTGTCTTTCTCCAGCCTCTGTCCCCCACACCCAAGTCAGCAAGCTGGTTGCTCAGCCCTCCACTCTCCCCAGGGCAGGCAGCTGGGTGATGCCCCTCCCTGTCTCCCCCTCCCCCCAGGAGAGGTTTGCAGCCCACGAGGGGATGAGGCCCATGCGGGCTGTCTTCACACGCCAGGGTCATATCTTCACCACGGGCTTCACCCGCATGAGCCAGCGAGAGCTGGGCCTGTGGGACCCGGTAACGCAGCTGGAGGCTTGGGGTGTGTGCCCCGGGGACTGGCATCACGGGAGAAGGGCCAGACGCCCCGCACCTGCAGGGCATACTCACCTGGACAGGGCTGGAGGTTGCTGCCACCTGTGCTGCACCTGCCATCCCCACACCCGCCCCTCTGCCCAGTTTTGCTGCGTCGCCTGGAAGAAACCCGCGCTGGCACCCCCACCTGGTGATGCCGAGTCCCTGGGGGTGGATTGCTGTGACTGCATGCGGCGGCGCAGGGGGTATATGTGCGGGGGAGGAGGGGTGAGGCGTCCAGGGGAGGGGCCCGCAGCGCTGATCACTTAGAGCTGCCTTGAGAATGCATGGGGGTTTGGGTCGGGCAGCAAGCATAGAGGCTTCTGAAAGGCCTGAAGTAGCGCGGGGGCGGGGGGGGCGGAGCAGGGCTGGTCACGCCCCCTGTGCTCGGCCAGAACAACTTCGAAGAGCCAGTGGCACTGCAAGAGATGGACACAAGCAACGGAGTCCTGCTGCCCTTCTATGATGCCGACTCCAGCATCGTCTACCTGTGTGGCAAGGTGCTGGCGGCCAGCGGGGAAAACCGGGTGGACCGAGATGTGGAGGGCTCTGCCGGGACACGCCTGCGAAACGACTGATTTTGCAGGGCGACAGCAGCATTCGGTACTTTGAGATCACCGACGAGCCACCTTTCGTGCACTACCTGAACACATTCAGCAGCAAAGAACCACAGCGGGGCATGGGTTTCATGCCCAAGCGGGGCCTGGATGTCAGCAAATGCGAGATCGCCCGGTCAGCACTCTCCGCCGCTCCCTCACGCCTGTCTCTGGTCCCCCCTCTCATACTGGGTCTTTGCCACGGGGCTTCCCTAATAGCGCAGTGCTTTGGAAAAGGGGGAGGTGTCAAACTGGTCCCTTTCAGTCCCAGCGCCAGCACACACTATCCTGGCCTTCTCTGAACTTGTTTTCTCGTCTGTAAACTGATGGTAAGCGCTCGGTCAGAGGTGTTTTACTGCAGAACCGATAACGTGTTCAACCTAGCGCTGGTCCCAGACAAGAGAAGAGGGTGGGAGTCTGCAGGGCTGCTTAACCCCGCTCCCTTATAGGTTCTACAAGTTGCACGAAAGAAAGTGTGAACCGATCATCATGACTGTGCCCCGAAAGGTGAGTGGCCGGGAGAGGGGTTGGACAGGCCTCTGAGGCAGAAAAGAGCGCAGCAGACCTGGCGCCCGCACTCACACAGGTCCGCCTATCCACACACTCCCGCAGTCAGACCTGTTCCAAGACGATCTATATCCAGATACACCCGGCCCGGAGCCGGCCCTAGAAGCAGACGAATGGCTATCCGGCCAGGACGCCGAGCCAGTGCTCATTTCGCTCAGGGAAGGTTACGTCCCGCCCAAGCACCGCGAGTTGCGAGTCACCAAGCGCAACATCCTTGACGTGCGCCCGCCCTCCGGCCCCCGCCGCAGCCAGTCAGCCAGCGATGCTCCCTTATCGGTAAGATCCCACCCGGCTCCACTCAGGCCCAGTCTCCGCAACCCCCTACCGCCCCCTGTCGGACACGGCCTCTTTCTGCCCTTCGCGCCCCAGCAGCAACACACCCTGGAGACGCTGCTGGAGGAGATCAAGGCCCTCCGCGAGCGAGTGCAGGCCCAGGAGCAGCGCATCACGGCTTTGGAGAACATGCTGTGCGAGCTGGTGGACGGCACAGACTAGCAGGGCGCGTCCGGCGAAGCTGCGAGCCAGGCAGGAGGGGCCGGGCGGGGCGCACGGACTCGGCCCCGCCCCGGCGTTTGGTTCCGGCTCCGGACTCCGCCTCCCTGGACTGGGGCCGGGGGCGGGACTGGGAAGGGGACTCCGCCCCTCGCAGGAGACCAAGATTAACCGAGCGTCGGGAGACCCGCATCTGTCTGGCCCTGGCCCGCCTGTGCACCTCGTATGGGACTCTGCAAGAGCTGGCCAGGAAGGCCTGGGATAACAGAGGCCTCAGCAATGGTGCTGCACGGCGAAGTGATGTCCCCTTTTGTCCCCCGCCCAGAGCAGGGAAAGTGCTTAGTATTAGCGCGATGCTTGGGGACTTTGTGGAGCTTGGGCTTGACCTCAAAAGGGTGGCGATTTGACGGGTCTCCCCAGACTGGGGAAAACTACCGCGCTGCTTCTAATCAGTTCACTTGATGCCACCACCCTGAGTGGTAAACCAGGGTGGTAAACTGGGGCGTTGCCCCAGTTACACAAACACATACGGAGCCCATTGACTGCAGAGCTGGCTGGACCCGCTGGCTACACCCAGCTGTCAGCAGAGCTCACATCCTTCTCTTCACCCACTGGGGAGAGGGCGGCTTCCTCCAAGCAGCTCCTTCGGGGGTCATCTCTGGAGTCCTGGGACGAGGAGGCAGATTGACCACACACACACACACACACACACACACACACACACTACTGCCCCCAGTCCTCTGCTGTGGCCTTCTGAGAAAAACAAGACGTACTGAATGAAATATTTTACTAAGTATTTGTGCCTCCTGCAGTGGAGGTGAGGGGGCAAGACCCCCAGCCTCTGCAAGTGCTACCCCTGGGGCTCCTAGGAAACCAGGCAAATGCAATCCTGGACTCAGGACCCACCAGACAGCCTCTCACCCTGGAGCCCTTCCCACAATGAGGTTTGAAGGAACCCCCAACCTCCACTGTGGGTGTTCCTACCCAGTAAAGTCAGGCAGGAAAAGCCTCCAGTTTGAAGACTTTTATTTGTGCCTCAGAATCAGTCTGGTGCCCCTGGCATCAGGGAAGGGGGTGGAACAGTTTCTCTTTGTTCTTTTCTTCCATCCCCTTTTTGTGTCCCTTCTGAGCCTCACTGGCAGAGCCCAGAAGGCCAGTCCAAGAGAGGCCAGGACAAGGGCATGCAGTGGGCCCTTGCCCCTGGCGGGGTCTGTGCTTCTCTGGGTGGGTGGGGTAGGGCAGGGGAGAGCCGGGGGTTAGCACCATCGGATGAAGGGTTGTAGTCAGCCCCTGGGTGGGGCCAGTGGGATGCACGACCACAGAGGGCTAGCAGCAGCTGGTGGGAAGGGGTGGATGGTGGTGCCAGGGCCCTAGGCGACCCCTTTTTATCCAGTCTAGTGCTTGCCCCCAGCCCAATATGCCCCCCAATTTCCAAGGCACCATGAGGGAGTCAGGCCTTGCCAGGCCAGGGACCACCTTAGACTACTCCCTGATCACAAAAACATGCCTTGGGGATGGAGACTCCAACTTCTGGCTGCCCAAGAAGGTGGGACCACCCTGAGACCCAGGACGGGTGTGGGGCTGGGGGAGCCGGGCACCCCGCTAAGTGCACTTGACGCTGAAATGCCGGGGTGGGGGAGGGGCTGGGCCCCTGGCGTGCCAGTTTGTGTCTGGGACAAAGCAGCGACACAGCACGCGGGTAGCTCAGCTGCCCCCCAGGGGTGAAGAGCGGAGATGCAAAGGCTTCAGGGGCAGTGTCCTGGAGTGGGGTCAGTGAGTGGAAAGGACCTGCCAGAAGGAGCAAGGGATGGGCACGATGCTCCTGTAAGGATTCGTCTCCCCCTCAGGACCGCCTGGCCCAGCCCTTGGACAAATCCGAGCCCAAGGGAGCGGGTAGGGGGTCTGGATACAGCAAAGCAGGGGGACCAGGCCGTGCCAGCTGCCTCCAGGGCCCTGGCCTGGAAAGGTACCCCGCATCCATGCTGAACCCCTCCCGGTCTCGTGTCTGGGGTGCTCTTGCACCCCTGTGCCCATGTCTCCAGTCCCCAGCCACAGCTGGGCCAGCGCGCAGGCTGGGGCGCGTCTCGCTTCCGGGAGGGTCTGGTGTGGGGCGGGCGAGGGGCCCGGCAGGGGGCGCTACTGCTCGGTGAGGGACAGCCGCAGGATGCGCTCCAGCTCCTCCTCCTCCCTGCGCGCGCGCCGCCGCCGCTCCTCCTGCTCCTGCGCTGACAGCTCCATCGCCAGCCGCAGCTGCCCCTCGGAGCTCCCGAG